AATTGTTTTATAAAATAACAACAACACGATAGTCTTCCGTGTTTGGATGGCCTGATCCAAACACGGGTTTCGACCAATCAGAGCACGCGTTATATACATGTTATTTTATAAATATATTTCATGTTATTTACAAAATGTGCTGTAGCTGAAGCTTTGCACAGAATATAATCAGTTCGAGCACAATGGCTCCGCTTCAGTTTGAGTGTATGAAAATCGAGTATTTTGATAGTGTGGGCTTTGAGGCTTTCTCGATATGTTTAAAATAAACGCCTGATAATTGATAAATAATCAGTGCGAGCACAGCGGCTCCAAAATCGCAACAAATAACAGAGTTGGCCTAATAACAACAAAGCTTTAATGGCTCCGTTTCATTTCGTATATAAAAATCGAGTATTTTGATAGCGTGGGCTTTGAGGCTTTTTATACGATATATAAATAAACGCCTGATAATTGATAAATAATCAGTGCGAGTACAAAAGCTCCAAAATCACAACCAATAACAGAATATAAGGTATGTTAAAGCAAAGCTTTACCTACCTCGATCTATTCTCCTAAGGCGCTCAATTATGTAAATTTTCGGCGAATAATCAATATTTCTTTGCGTTTCCTCGACGAAAACCCGGCACGAAAATGCTCGTCGGAAAAACTCGGTATTTGTCGTCTTTAAATACGAATCTGCCACGTGACTGGTACGCTCACCGCTCACGACACGAAATTTAGAGCTATATGAAAGTTGCATGCCATATATGGCATGCAACAAAAATTGACAATTTTCTAAAGGCCACGTTGGGATTTACAGAATGTTCTACCCATGACTGTATACGTAAGTAAACCATTATATTGACAAAAATCTCAACTCTGTAATCACATAATATACATCACGAGAGGTCTTACATATCTAAAGAGGTTTAACTTTTATCCGTCCAGGATTTACCACTTGAGGGCGTTAGAAGTGTAAATAATCTGGTATCAGACACAGTCACGTACTTAGTGAACATGGTCGAGTTGAAATTATAGGTCTCTGGTCATTTGTGAGTACATTGCCATGCCTTGCATGTAAACGAAATTAAGTGCGATGCTAAATATTTCGGTATAAGATTAAGAATATTCGGAAATGTGAATTAGAGTACGAAAATATTTATGTAAGCTGCAGTGGTCTTGCCTTCACAGCATGGCTCACTTAATTGAGTAGTCAACATAGGGAATCCAAGCGTAGGCTATAAAGGGTCAACACGGCGAACACGACCACAATTTGACGAACGGAGAGTCGCTTACCTCTAGAGTTACCCTCACTGTCGTCGTCATTGCCGAGGCGAGTTTCCAAGAGATACTCCAGAACTGTCTCAGGTAAACCGGTGGTTACGTCATAGCTAAATTAAAAAGCAGAGCCTGTCAAAAATGTTTTGTTTACGCCATACCTGTACATTAGAATCATGAGACTCGGCATTTTTCACCATGCTACAAGTCTCAATGAAAAACACGGAGGCTGTTAAAAAGTTCTTGGACTCTAGTCAAAATCCAATATTTCGCATGGGAATTTCTATTTTGATAAATGCTATATGTCGCCCAACAGAAAGAATGTCCAGCTTCAGTAAATTGAGTGAACTTTCCGCGGGAATCGAATCTCCTCTTTTAAGCTCAAAAACTCTAAGTAGCCACGAAATATCACCTAGTTAAGCCTGTGCACCAAGCGTAAAAAATTCCTGTTTGCGTAAAAAGTCGCACGTTCACGTGAACCTATAGTCGTCGACCCGCTTTAATTAAGGGTCGAAGGCTCGCGCGAAAAGGCTAGTGAAAAACAGGCTTTGTACGAGTTGTGTACTAAAGGTGATGTAAAGTCCGTAATGTAAACAAACGCTTTGTTTACATTTTGAATTCAGTGCTACAGTTGTAAAATATGATTAGATATATATTATACTGAATTTTTAACACTCTTCTGGTTCGCAATGCTTGTAAATGAATACAGACTAGAGATTCAATTCAAGAAAGTTCGGAAGGTGCGAAATATTAACAACATTCCAAAGGTTGCTCCCCCACTGATGGAATGTGTTGATGCGCAGAATATATGCGCAGAACGGACTTTACAGCATCTTTAAAATATCCAAATCGCTACTAGTTCCCACTGTATCTACTTACCTATTGTGGATAATGTATATACTCAATCGTTTATAAATTACCAAACCACTATTAATTCAGCTGAGTCATTGCATCGCGTGTGCATGGGCGTAATTTAACGACATCAATGCCTTATCAATGGACCCTATTATTATTATTATTATATTTATATTTAACCAGGATACCCCCATCACCGAATGATTTTCAGTGGTGCCTCTTATGGTTTGAATAGCTACAGACCATAGATATCTTATATTCACTAGATAGTGCATCTAATTATTCTGCAATTCAAAAATTGAAGCCGTGATTGCAGACTCAGGATATTCCCATGAAATGAGAAGATTCGCATGTTTTCTATTTCTTAAGCAGGGAACTTAAACATTAAGTTAAACCTATTCCAAAAACATCTTCCAAATGACATATACAGTACACTTAATAGACATACCATTTAGGATCGACTTCATTTTCAGAAAACACAAGACTGGGATCCTTCTTTCTGTCCAGAATCAGAACGTCTTTATGGTCGAAGCGTACGATGATCGAATCTTTTTCAAAACTCTGGTAAACGAAAAAAAATGCTGTTTAGTTGCATACACGCATATTACTACCATTGTTGAATAAATTATTGAAATACTATTTCATTTTAGTTCTGAGACTCAGAAAACAACCCTCAAGCGCTAATATATACCCATTGAGCTATTGAACTATAGCGCCGAAGTATTGGATATATATTTATTTTACCAAGGCAGCATGTACTATAATTCGTTATCTTGTTTTTATATTTGACCTATATAATTATTTGGGGTTCCAGTTACAGTAGGGATATTGCTATTAAAATTGCTATGTTGTGGATTGCTTTTCAATGAGAGAACTTTTTTAATATGTTGTGAACCCAAAATGGCAATAGCGCGAGTTAGCAACGCGCGAGTTAGCCCGCAAATCGCAGGCTAAGCTATATATTTCATATGTAATGTCAATCTCGTTCCCAGAGTATGCCTGCACTACATAACTCGCGAACAGGCATACTCTGGGAACGAGATTGATGTAATGTTAATAAAATAACTTCAGTAAGACCCGGGATGGGCTCCCTGTGGCATTATATCACACGCAACGCCACATTCTTGAAAAAGATTCAGGAGAGAGAGGAGTGTAAAAATTATGAAATTGTCATTCAAAAGGATCAGACACCAATGCAATATCAACGATAACAACATGTGGTTCAGCCAAGAAGATCTATACGAAACCGTCTCCACACAAGTTTATTCGGACATCCAATAAACTCTTCAGTAATCCATTAGAAAACTTGTACATAGCAACTTTATCTAACATATACATTTGGTTTCATATTCAAGTTCATTTAAAGTGGAAGTCAAGTCCGTATGTAAACAAACGGTTTGTTTACATTTTGAACTGCCATATTTTTTACAAATATGATGTACTATCTGAATATCTAACACCATTTTGGTTCGCTATGCTTCTAAATGAATATGAAAAAAATCCTCACATTGTTATGAGCAGAACCGATGCGCAGAGCATTTTTGAAAGTGTCGAGAATTAGCCAGAAACGGCCTATCAAATATTAATATAGCAATAACCTGTGTTTAGAAACACTATATGGTGAGAAAGTTCATGTTCGATTTCAGAGACCTGCCCAACGCCGCCGGTATAACCTCACGAGCATTATTTACCCTTGCATATTCTAAATTGAAACTCTTTGCCTTTGGTCCTTCGTTAAACGAGGCGTATTTATAAAAAAACACGCGACGTTTCTTTCTTGGAACATTAGAATTTCATAACTTAATTTTCATGCATTCCCAAAGACCCTAAAACAAAAATAAAAGAGCACATCCATCCAATAAACATTTTTAATTTCCTTTCATTGAAACGAATACTTACGATAAAACGGTAACGGTTATCAAATTAGTTTAACAGGTCGTTTTTAGCTAGTTCTCGACACTTCCCAAAATGTTTACTGAAGTTTAAACGGGGCTCTCTCGGTCAATATTGCACGAAAATGCACAGGGCACCAGGAGTTGGGAATACGTATCGCAATTTTAGTACGTCATATGCAGTCAGTGTGTCGTTAGCACTTAGCATGTTTTTTTTAAGTTCCTGAAATTTTTATTTTCGCTTTTAGATTTAATAGCATTATTATCATCAATTCCGGTCACACCTTCTTATAATCAACTTAAAAGTTTCCTGATAAAATTTCCCTTTCTTGTTTTGACGATCAAAATACCTATAGGAAACGAATATGGTAACATAGAAATGAATAGGAATAAAATTTTGAGCATGACTGGAGAAATGTTGTCTCATGCATCTAGCCTGCTCACAGCCTAATTTTAAAACCGACAATTTCGGGTTGCCAGCAGGCCATGTGTCACGCAACCGCGTAATTTTTTTCTAGGCCTGAGGTACACGTGCGGGAAGGCGAGATTTATGGATAATTTAGTTATACAGCTAAATTTAAAATATCAAATAAAGTTAAAAAGAAATACGGGAACAATGCGTGAATATACATGCATATGTGTACAAGGCGTATCCAAATCTATTGTTTCTAGGTTGAGTTCTTTGATCTGCTTCTGCGATGAATCAGTTTAATCACCTGTAGCGTTTCAATATTTGCTTTTGGAGGTTACACTCCAATGGGTGAAAACAGCCATATGTTCATCAGATTAAACTCCCAGAGAAAAAGGGCGTGTCTGAGGCTTAATTGTTGGGAGAAACGAAACAGGCGCGAATTGTAATCAAAAGAAGAATATCAATGTCCAGCATCATGTGCATAAAAGATCCAACTTAACTCGAAGTCCTTATTCCTTAACTCTAAAATTACGTAATCCATACCTGGTTGGTGTTCTATTTTACCCATTGAGGGTTATGATATAGATTTCAGAATCTTCAGCAAACTTGAACTGGATTGTAGGGATGAAATTTAGCCTGCCTAGCAGGCGATTATTTGGCTACATGTAATCATAATTGTTTTTAATCGTTTTTGTATATACATTTCGTAAGTCATGAACATATAAACACAGATGAAATTCGTCTCGCGTGACACCGAATTTGTGTCCTGCAGGCATGCCTTCATAGAGAAGAAACACCTTTCTTTATCAACAATTGTAAAATGAACATACGGCGCATACTTTCATAATATACTGCTGCATGCACAATGGTATTTAGGTTTGTATTACCCAGAAAAAGCGTATGAGATACAATGGTAGAACAAGCTAAGGGATGTTACGTGCAGTGATTCATTGTGAAAAATAAATTGCAATTCTTTCTTCGTCGGAAGCGACACTTGTTGTATTGTACAACAAAGCAATATTAACAATATCTCACGATCAATTATCTACCAGCAGGTACAGACTTATCAAATACTTCTCATTGACATGTGAAATTATCGTGAGAGCAAAATATGATAGTCTTTATAGTTGTACGCAACCCACAGTTGTCTGTAAACACCGCTTACAAAGACAATTTAAATGTTTCAAAACTACAAAGATTAGGCTGCTCTTGATTTTATATAAAGCAAGGGCGCTAATTGTTTACCTTCAAAAATGTGACTGTCGAGGTGACGGTCACATTCGAAGTCAACAGTCTCAATAATCCACACAGGCTATACTGTAGTTAGTATCAATAGCAGTATACGAGTATTGGCATTAAGATATTAGGCATCTAAAAACGAACACACTTTGATTGCTTATGTCACTCGCCACTCAGTAAAGTCACGCAACATTTTGAGATATTGGAAGAATATTTCTGCCAAAGGCCATCTGTAGTACGTAGTTGCGTTCAAAAAGCTGAATATTGTACTTAAAATATAAAACTATATGCGACCATTTTGAACATTTTCACTTTTGTACATTTTCACTTTTGTACGTAATAAAAATAAACTCAAGTACGGCATAATATTTGAAATCGGGGGAAGTATTCATGTTGTTTCAAAACGCACCAGTTATTAACTCGGGGAAATACAGTATACATGTACTCTCGCGGCGTATAGTCGAATATGGAAACCTTATTTTTGAGTTATTATCAAGGAATTGCGTAAAAGAATATTCCCAAAACTCGTGAACTGTCAATCGATAATATTAACTGCCGCTTGAATCAACCATGACCATGTTGACATGATACCTCGTATGACACAACGCATGCAGTGTTGAGTGTTGTGATCGTTGACATTCTATTGTAAACCCTAGTCTTTAATAACGTTTTGATTTTAAAGGAAGTCTAGAAAGTCAAATCTTGGTTTGTGCCATGTTTTTCATGTGCCATGTTTTTCAAGGCAACACTGCCTTGTACGAAGTGTCAAGTAACGTTATTAAAACGCAATGAACTGTAGGTGCGCATAAACAAACCACAAGTGATTAAAAACATTGTCACACTCACCGTTGATGTCTCTTGATTGGTCACCTTCGAATCCACGCTGTCCTCCTTCTTTACAAATTGGCAGCCTACATCGTACATGGACCTGAAAAAGCGAAACAGATCCATATAAATGTCGAATAATCACAATGACGGCCATACAAAGCAACGCGTGCATCGACCTTTTACAACACAATTAACAGACATGAAAGATGAGAAGTATATACCGCGCGATTTCTTAAATTAAATACATGTCAACCGTTTCAAATATCAGCTTACTGAATACTGATCATTATATCGATAAATGAATGAGTAAATTCGAATACTTGATCTAAACTGGTAATGAACTAATGAAGTCTGTTAATCCGTGCACCAGCTTGCTTGATATTTATATGTTTGTAGAATGATATATCCTACATATAAAATTTGACGAAATTAAGAAATATTACCAAATTTTTTACAAGGCATAGTTCAAGTTATAAGAATTTGAGCCTCGCTGTTCAACTGTTTGAAAGAGATTATATTAAGTATGCACATTTACCAACCAGACCAAAACGAATAATATACGTTTAAAATTCAGCTTTTATATATTTACAGCCATATACGGCTATACAGGATCTAATTTTTCATAAAGACTGAAGTAAAACTTGCGTGATGATTCTATGCATCTAGGAAACAAAAAGTTGAAACCCAATCAATTTTCTTTTCAATTCCTCTCATCTCATGCCTAAGCGCAAATTTATAATATTATGGTCTTGGCCTTGGTAAATAGTGACAAGAGTATGTATGTTCTTCGCTCGTACCTTTCCCTTAAGCTTCTTACTCGATTTTTACAGCCGTTGAAAAACTGCTTAACATTTGTAAAGTATTTTCCTCGGCCACTAAACGTCCGCCGACGTTTTGTCTTAAAATTATCAAAGGAAGCTTCGAAAGTATTTGCTCTCGACGCTGACTCTTGAGCAGCCGACTCGGACTGTCGCATCGCATAAGTGCTCATTCGATGATTTAAATATCAAGCCAAATCTTAAACGTTCTTGATCGACGTGGATAAATTTGTTCACTGGCTCCAAACATATACAGTGTGCTTACTCAAACCCAAAGCATAGACGCTGTTTGTTCTTTTTGTGGTTTCAATGAAGAGAAATTGAGTACGTTTCCTGCCGTATGTGGGAGATCACAGATCCGCACCTAGCGGAAATGGTGTCAAAAGCTAATACTTAGCAACGTCACAATGAAAATAATTTGATATAATGACACTAAGTTGCATGAATACGTGATTGCAGTGTAAAGATGCGTATTTTTCGCGCTCTTCTAAGTTTAATATTATTGTTTCACCCACCCAATCAATTTCCTTAATTAACATACCTCTACAGAATCGTCAAAGAATCAATAAATATTCCAGAAGATGTTTGTGATGTTACTCTGAGTGTGCATATACACACCGGGCAAGCTGAAAAGTTAGCTTGGCCACGGTGGGAATCGAACCCGCGACCTTGGGATACCCGAGTCCAATGCTCTGCCAACTGAGCTAAGTGAGCTACGTGGTCAAGTCAAGTCGGTTCGATATTTCGGAACTGAGTCTAGTTCCTTCGATATCAGTGTATTCTATGATATGATTATTTTGTGTGTGTTGGTGTTATAGTGTACACAGGTGAATATGATGTTTGTGATGTTACTCTGAGTGTGCATTTCAGTTCAGAGTAACATGACAAACATCATATTCACCTGAGTACATAACACCAACACCAACACACACAAAATAATCATATCAATAATTCATATACACTGATATCGAAGGAACTAGACTCAGTTCCGAAATATCATCAACTTACTCGATCCGAGTGACCGACTTAGCCACGCAGCTCAGTTGGCAGACGCCTGGACTGGTTTCCCAAAGGTCGCGGGTTCGATTCCCACCGTGGCCAAGCTAACTTTTCAGCTTGCCCAGTGTGGATGCACACTCGGAGTAACATCACAAACATCATATTCACCTGAGTACATAACACCAACACACACAGAATATTCCAGAAGAGTTACACCTAAATTCGGAATGCTGCCAGCGAACAGTGTTTATTAAGGGTAATAGGGTATTTTAACTTTTAAGTGCGAGTTTATAAAATTAAGCGCATTGACGTTGTAGTTCAAATCTATGCTGAAATTTCTGAAAATTATCGTTGCTATAGGTAGCCATCGACTTCGCAAATCGAAAATAAGACCAAATACAAGCAGCCGTATAGTTTTCAATCCAGAATTTTCTGTCAATCTGATTATCAATTTATCCATATTTTCAATACATAGTAATAAACAAAATTAATGCAAAAACGCAAATTAAGGCAAAAACGCTAAATCACAAGTGTTCGTGCTCCTTATTATTGACCTTCCTTACTGCCTGTACCAGCTGCCATAGTTAATGTCTAGAAGTCTATTTAATCATTTCAAATGCGTATAGCCATATAATGACGGATCGTGGGTGAATGATACAGTGTATATAACTAACACTGATAGTGTATGTTACCAGTGCATTCAATTACTATTATGAAAAGTATGTAATTTTGGGGCTGCCAGATGTGTCCTCCAAATTTTATCAATCAAAATGAAACAGATAAGTTGACGGATCTGTAATTGACTTTCACAATGAGAGCCACAAAGTGAATCACTAAAGCCTAAAGTAAAGGACAATCAACAATGCAACAAAGATATCTTGAAAGGATTCGTCACGCATAGTGGTTCACAAAAGAGTGCAAAGCGTGCCAGACAATTAAAGGATTATCGGCCTAACTTGAATACTAACTTTCTACATGTGAAAATAAATTAGAATGATACGTTTTCAAATAATATTTCGCATACCGCAATAATACCAGTATACAGCTAGCTACAGCTTACATTCCATATCACTGATCTGAAATAAGACTGGATAAGCATCTGGATCTGCTGTGCATAAGCCGAGCCAATGGCGGCCATATTGGATGGCCCCACAATTAATCTAATCTGGCATGGTATTGTGGACATGTTTAACTCTTCCTTCGCGTTTGTAGTGACTAGTGGGAAAGGACAAATATTGCCTAGATAAGAATTTATTATCAGTAGCCTTTCTTTTTTCCTAAATTTGCCGGTGAATAACTAATGGCGGTCATCAAATATGCCCGCATTCCTAAGCCTCATTATGTGCTGTATAAAACGTTCTAAAACTACTTCGAAGAGGTTTTGGAAGCTATATTTCACCAGTCACATAGGCGAAGATATTTGCTTTATAGTCTAACTGAACTTAACCAGCAAACGATTAAACTTGGTCATGAATTTGACTGATTTATAAATCTCATCTCATTAAAATATTCTGGCTTCAAAATCGGATTACTCATGAATTCAGTAGGATGCTTTATCCAGTCTTATGTCAAACCAGTGATCCCGATGGTAATATTCTGCATGTTACTCTTTCTGATTGGATTACAATGTACTTTTAATAATACAATACCAATTTTGTGGACAACAATGAGTGAAAAACATGCAAGTTTGATTTTCTTGCTTGTACTAAACTAAAGTAAATGGACTTATGGACGTATATATAAACGTTTTTCCCTATAATTTTAAAACAAATGTTATTAATGAAACTGCAGCTCATAAAAAAGACCTCAGATCGGGACCTCGCCTAAGTGTCCGCTTAAAAGGGGTGTCCACTTAAAAGAGGTTTGCAGAAAAACACAGCACTGAGGAGGAAAATTTGGGTGTGTAATATGAGTACGAAAACTGTAAAAAATATCTAGCAAATAATTAGCATAAAAGTACATTTCGAACGCGGTTGCTGTTGTTCGTAAAAGGCAAAGCTCAAGCGCTTCTGCAAGATCTACCAGATTACAGAAGAAAAGACGCAGATGAAGTCTTTCGTTCATCGGAATGAAATGACAAATGATATGGAAGTTGTTGGTACATAGTTAATAGAAATAAATTGATGGCGGGGTGGGTAACAACATTTTTGAAACGCGCAACCAATTCAGGAACAGTAATATTAAAGAAAGAAAAAATGAATCTCGAAGATTAAATTAGATTAGTCTAATATATTTATCTATAAAAACAGAACTTTAACATGTCATGTAAATTGATCTCAATTTTAATTTATAAATAAAAGAGGTTGATTTGTCCATTGGGACCTCAAGTAAGGTGTCCGCGTCCGTTAAAGAGGGGTGTCCGCTTAATAGGGGTTACGATAATATGAAAACGAACGGGACCTGAGATATGTGTCCGCTTAAAAGAGGTGTCCGCTTAAGAGAGGTGTCCGCTTATAGGAGCTCGACTGTATTACAAATTAGGGTCGCACATTGCAGGTTATTGACTTAAGTAAATTTCAAGCAGTTCGTATATGAGATATCGTCTAATTTCTCTTTCGACACACTTAATATAAAACCTAATTGCCAATTGCCGTAAAAAGTGTCAAAATCTAATATTAAAAACTAAAAGACTCAAAGTATGGCATATAAAAAATATATATATTTCGTTGATTCTCCGCCTCTGCAGTTTGACGCGCGCATATTATTTAACTAGTAAGTTAGGCGCTAAATATTAGCTAATCCAAGGTATAATTAAATCATATAAATCTTCCAACCCTTTCACGTGTTTAGCTGTATTATTTTCTACTTCACACAACACATTAAAACATCATGCTTGACGTGCAGACGGCGACTGAAGTTCTGCACGAGTAGTGATGTTTATATATTATATTTCATATAGTTGTTACTGTGCCGCTCTATAAAGATACTCTCTTGACCGCTTATCAGGATCTATTCACATTAAAACAATTCCATTTTTATTATTCTTGTCGTTAATCCACAAGGCCGTACGAAAAGAACGTCAACATACAAATAAGCCGAGTCAGCATTTTAGTGGCCGCAGAACCAATCTCGTACCCAGGGATAATCCAAACCGGAACACCAAAGAACATTGGTTAAAAACGCGGACTGGGCATATTTTTACGCAAGGAGTGAGAATGAATTATTTGTTGGAATTTATGATAAATTTGGACTTGCAAAGACGACGTTTTAGGGCATGTATTAAGCATCCCGGCCAGGCGAGACGGGATGCTTACCGAGATCCCGCTCATAATACAAATTCTAATGTCATTGTGTGTTTATATGATCCCGCCACTTATCCCGCCTAGACAGGATCTCGGCAACAGATGCTTCAAGATATTTTAATCTTTCTGCTCTAGCTCTAATACTGGTGACCAGATTTGGTAAACAAGATATACCCGAACTATAGGCTGCGTACCGTCTATACAGTACTTGGAGAATGTAAAATTAACAGTGATGTGAATGTGATATAATTTTGTACTTATTTTGAAAATCTTATTGGCAAATCTTGAGAATAATGGCTTGGGAATGTTGAAAATTAAAAACTGTTAGATAGCTCGTTAGAAGCATACATATATGTCATATACGGTCATATACGATGAAACCCCAACTTTTGTTAATTGCCAACTGAATTTCATTTTAATAATGACAATTCAGTTATATTCTAGTGTTGAATGAACAGTATTATAAAAATGATTTTATGTGTTGGGAGAGAGCACTGGTGAGTGGTGCTCAATGGATCTAATTTATCTAATATTCTATCAGTATTATTTATTTTAGTATTATTATTAAAAACATCTTGTATAACACGGTGGCTAATCAACTAAAAAATCTTTACAAGGTTGTTGTCATTGCTTTTCATTAGGCCGTGTACTTACAGACAGTATAAGATATTACCACCCACCCTCCCTAGACCACCAGATAATATCAGAAAGATATTCAAAGTTTATTATAATCACTTCAACCCCACCCAGATAAGATCATATGACAATATTCAGGGGTTTTTAATATTTCTTTCATTCCAAACTTTAGCAGCAGCATAACCAAAAGTTCGTTTCATTGAGTTTGTTTTGGCTTCGATAACATCAGCTTAGTCATCGATCTGAATTAGATAGTTTAAACATGTCCGAAATGTTCTCGGGACAGTGGCATGTAAATGCTTTTGATACATGTTTTAGTTGTTGCTCCTTCCTTCTTTCACCTATTGTTTTCCAATCTAGTTTCTTTAAAATATCTATGGAGCGTATTTCATATGCAGGCTTTCAGAATTATTCTGAGTAGGTGTCTGTTTCGATAAAGTAGGCGGCTGTTGAGAGGGGGCGGTCTACAGGGTGTCTAAAAAAACGCTATGTAAATTCAACAGGCTGTCGTGCATCATAAACGTGGCCAAACAATTCAATTTTCACATAGTTAACATGCACAACTCAACGAAAACGAACGTATAGCCTCATTAAACGAACGATCTATTCGTCGAAATGCATAGAAATTGGCCTGCTCATTGGTAGAGACAGCACATCATGAACTATCGTCTGATATTGAACGAATGTTATAATCACATACAGTTCCACGTAACAAACGAGCTAATTCTCATTGGTTGAGACAGCTGAAAGCACATTATGAATTTGCGACAGGTGTTACACAGCGGACGGACTTATATTCGCAAGGACAATACAATTATAAGTTGTTCGAAATCCATTGTCAAATCACTATTCAATATTTTAGAAAGGACTCGACACTTGCCCATGTTAATTTAAACTACAAAACAAATGTTCACATTAATAGGCCGGCATTGCTGTAATTTGTTGAAAAAGTCCGGACCATTAAACTCACAACTCACAAAGTTAGGAAACAAAACTCCCTCAATACGTGGAATTGGGATGTTCGCTTGGGCT